GGAGGAGGAGGGGGAGGGGGAGGAGGAGGGGGAGGAGGAGGAGAAGGAGAAGAAAAAAGAAAGGAGAAGAAACAACCTCAGAAGCACAGATTTCTGTAGAAATTCATCCAGTTCCCTTCCGTTGCCAGCTGTGTCACCTTGGTAACATTTTTGGTTAAACAAAACAGCTGTGTTAGTTACTTTTTTTCATTACTGCAACAAAGTACCTGACAAAAGTAACAAAGCATAGGAAGGAAGGAAGGAAGGAAGGAAGGAAGGGCTCAGTTTGCATCACACTTTGAAGGTGAAGTCCGTGATAGTGGGGAAAGCATGGTGGGAGGAATATGAGGCAGCTGGTCACATTGTATCTATGGGGGAGGGAGGGAGGGAAGGAGAGAGAGAGAGAGAGAGAGAGAGAGAGAGAGAGAGAGAGAGAGAGAGAGATAGATGCTGGTGCCCAGGAGCGCACACACACCACAGTACACATGTGAAAGTCAGAGAACACGTACACGTTTCTGGAGATGATCGTCCTTCCACTCTCCAGGTCCTGAGGATCAAACTGCAGTCATTAGGATTGACAAGCTCCTCTGCCCACTGAGCCATCTTAAAAAAGGCCTTCCTCCTTTTTATTCAATCTGAGACCCCACCCAGCTCGTGAGGACTGTCCTCACATCCCTAGTGGATCTTTCCTCTTCAGTCAAACCTCTTTGGAAACAACCTCATAGACAAACCTCTGGGTGTATCTCCTTGGTGATTTTAATTCCAATCAGGTTGACAATAATTAACTGTCAGGAACACAGCTCACCTTCTGTAGCCTTGTTTTCCCAGTCTGTACTAGAGCATCTAGCTTCCATCTCAGCTAAATGAGAGATGTAAAATAGCCAGATTCTGCTCTGGTCCATTTGTCTGGAAAGAAGATTGCGAGCACCTGCTGAAATCAAGTTCTTATACCTAGAGTAGCACATTGTCTCTGCCTTGGGGACATTTGGAGGCTCCTGGGTGTTGGCTAGGGTAATGTGACAATAGATCAGGGTGTAATGAATGCAGGAGTCAGGGGTATGCTACAGCAGTGCTTTCACCATTGGGCCTTGAAGGATGGTTAACATCAGGAGAGGGAGAGATCTAGACAGGAAAGGGCATAACCAGGGTCAAGAAGCTCATGGATTTCAGAAGCTATTGAGTGGAGCTAAATGCTCAGAAATGGAAAGGTTGCTGGTGGCAAAGACAACAACAGGCAGTAGAGGCAAGACCACAGGTGCTGACGGTGAGTGACTAACTACCAGGGCACTGGGGGAGGCCAGTGGAGCTGAGAGGATGAGGACTGTTGTTGTTGTTGTTGTTGTTATTAATGCCTTGCCTTGGTTGTGGAAGAGACATGGAGTAAGGGGATGACTCAGTGATGCTGGGTGCCTGAGATAGGGAGCACAGAGGCAGGAGAATCGACTCCACTTGAGTTCCAGCCTGTGGGGATCTAGAGACGGGGACATCCAGGAACACTTCCATCATATGAGTGGCACTCCCAGGCTTTGGCCATCATGGCAGGCTAAAGATTCTCTGAATAGGGGGAGGGCAGAGCCCTGGAAGACATCTATCTGAACTGGAGACGGAGTTCAGCGAATCAGAAGCAAAGATGTTATCATGGGGTGTTGGGAAGGCTTGGGGGGCATTGCAGAGTGGGATAAACAAAGAATCTCTGCTGTCTGGCTCTACTGTGATGCACTAGGGTTAACTTCATCAGCACCAGAGAAGAAGACCACCAGCAAAGAAGCGAGTGGGGAGAAGAAAGGTGAGACACAGGGCTACTTGCAGTTTGTGAAAGATTGTCAGGTGTGTAAGAAGACGCCCAATTCTCTTGTTGCCAGGAGCTCCCTGCCCCCTGCTTTTTTTGACTGGAAGGCCAGGCACTAGCACATGTCTTGTAGGTTTGTTTGAGGGGCAAATAAGATTGGTGTGATTGAGGTCACACTACCAGCAAAGGGTAGAGCCAGGCTATCCTGCCCTGATTTCATGCCTCTAATGTACAGGTTCCCCAGAGGGCAGGGGAGTGAAGGAGCTCCAAGCCAGCGTGGCCTACACAGGTTCAGGCTCAGAGTTGAGGAGCTGAGATCTCACTGTTGTGCTGTGGTGTCTTTGCCCACTGGGGAGCACATAGAGACTAGAAGGCCTCTACTGGGGTAATGCTCCACCCAACAGTAAGACTCAGACACAGCCCAGCTGAGTCTGGACTCCAGATGGGCTGCAAAGCTGCCCCCACCCTAGGCTGCTGGAGGGTGGGCTGCTAATGTGGATGTGCAGATCTGTGTGTGTCCATGTAGTTCCATATGCATCTGTCTGTGTGGCCCCTCGTGTGTGTGTGTGTGTGTGTGTGTGTGCGTAAGTGTTAGTGAGCAAGTTGGGGGTTTGAGATCTCTGTTGAGTGCATATGGCCGAGCGTGTATATGTGTATATAAGTGTGTGAATTGCAGTGTATCCATCTCTGAGTGTGCCCACATGTGTGGAGGCCATGCGTGTGTGAACTGTGCTCTCAGCCTCTACATGTGCACCGCATGCTTCACTCTCTGGGTGTGCCTGCCTGACTTGGCACATCCCTCTCTCTCTCGGGAGCACCAGGCTGGTGTTCCCCTGCCAGAAACATCTTCTGGATTGTTCTGCTGTCTGTGGGAGTATAGGGGGCAGAGGGACACTCCAGCCGCTGGGATGCAACCCAAATTGTCAGCATGGAGCCAGGAGACCACCTCAGAGTCATGACTGAGCTCTGCCCAGCTCAGGCTAGTGATAGTTCAGAGACAGCTTCTGTCCTTCTGGGCCCCATGAAGAGAGGGAGCAACACCCTTACAGCTGGGGGTCTGTCAACTGGCCCTCCCCGCCAGCCTTGGAGCCCAGCAGACGCGCCCCCCTCCGTGCCCACTCCCTGGGAGGCGTCTGACACATGATTTATTCATAAAAAGCCATTATTTGTGCCAAAGAAGAACTGAGCTGCTCGCTTTTTAAGTGCTGATAATGCTCCCAGCCTTCCCTCCCGCCCCTCCCCTCTCTCACCTCCTTCAGACTTCCTATCCTCTCTCTCTCCTTTCTTCCTGATCCCCTCTTTCTCCTCTATTCCTTCATTGTTCTCATCTCTGGTCCCCTCCTCCATCCTCCCTCCCTCTGGCCCCACTCAGCTCCAGGCTACCTCTTCCTTTCTACAATCCAGGGGGTAAGGCAGGACACCAATCCTCCACCAGTGCTTGTCTCTTCAGGGCCATGGGGAGGTTGGGAGGAGTCGAGACAGGTTGAGGACAGTGAAAGGTCACAGGAATATTGTCCTAAGTAACTTGCTGTGAGCTAAAGAGTGTGACTTTAGTCCCTCCGTATTAGCATAGGTTTCTCAGAACTCCAAATAAATATTCACTCTAAGTGAAAACATTATACTTGGAATGCAAATGAAGATTGGAAGCGAGCCCCTTAGGACTCCTTTACTGGCCAAGAAAGCCCCCAAGCCACCTGTATTCTGGAGGTGGTCATTCAGGTGGTGCCAAGAGAGGCTGGCATGGAGAGAGGCACCTGGGTCTTGCCACAGAGACAGGAGACAGAAGAACTTACTCCCAGATGGCAGCTTGGACATGGCCACACACAGACTCACACACGGTTCTTAGAAGCCAAAATCCTAGATCCACACGTGTTGTGCCCCTCATGCTTGCACGTGCGTGCAGCGTGCGCGCATGCACACACACACACACATACACACACACACACCAGGCCTGCACTCAGCCACCCACTTCCTATGCAGATGGAGCACCCTGCCTCGCCCCACCCCCTAGAGCATTTCTTTTTGAGCACCTGCAGCAGCAGGGGCTGCAGCGCCTTCCCCAATCCAGACACCTGTTCATTCATTCATGCATTCATTCATTCACTTCATAAAACTTGATCTTGCAACCCCTGCATCTGTGCCAGCCTTTGTGCTGGGTGGTGGATGACACAAACAAACAGGATTAGTACTAGAGGAGGGAGCTGGAATAGAGGGGCTCCTGCAGGCCCTCCCCTGCAGCCTTGGGCTGGGGGCTGGGGGCCCAGCAGGCGAGGGGTTAAGTCGTTTGGCATCCAGAGCTGGAGCCATTAGGCCTCCTAATTATGAAATTATCGAGGTCCTCAGGTGACTGCTAATTTCACACACACTGTTCCTCTCACGGCTAATGAACGCCCGCAGAACCCACGCCTTGTCTTTCCTGCTGAACGGTGACCTGCAGTTAATGAGCTCAGGAAGGCAGACAGGGCACCGGCTGGATGGGTGGGGCAACAGGCCTAAGGAGGGGGCCACTAGACCCTTGG